ATAATCTATGAGAACTTTACTGATTAAATAACTGACTTACCATCGGTTGATGCTCACGTTGATGAGACCTGTAATCAAATTACCCCCCCTTAAAGCTAAACTTAAATAGAATCACAAGAGCATATAATCCCCACAATTGTACTGAAAAACTAATAATTCATGGAATCTTCAAGATTCTTTGGGTTGAGTGAGTGTCCCTTGGCAGTTTAAATACCTTGTAAATTATGCACTAGTTTCAGCTTCACAGCCATTAGCCTTTTCGACCATGCTCTGTGATTTAAATCTAGAATATTTTATTTGGATATTAATTTACATTTTTATACACATATGAACAAAACAATAACTAATTCATTATCATGTCTTTTATAAATCTTTTCGAATCCAATAAAAAATATAATATTTTTTTATTAAACTTTATTCATAGGTATGTCAAGGAAATAAAAAAAAAAAGATTATTAAGAATCAAATGCAATAATTACCTTTGTGGAACCGCCGTTTGATGAACTTGAATTGGAGTTGAGATTCTGATTTTTGTTGGTATGATCGAGATTGAACGCTCCTCTCAGCTTCAACAGCTTGCCGAGCTTGGCGCACTTTTTTGCAGCAAATTCCTTCATAACCTCTGTAAATGCACACAATGCACAAATTCAAATGAGGAGAAAATTAACCCCAAAATCAGAAATGGAAAGCTGTAATTATTAGGGTTATTACTTAATTATTTAATTAATTAATTAATAATCGGACCTTCGAAGCTTACGAGCCGATAAACCTGTCCGAGAAGCAGGGTATCGTCCGGCCGGAGGAGCTTGAGCTGCTTCACCGTCGTTCCGTTCTCCGTCCTCGCCGCCGGCGAGGCGACCACCAGCGCGACGTAGTGGCCGGGGTTGGAATTCATGACCTCGTCGGCGCTCAAGGACCAGTAGATCCTCTCCACCCTGTTTCCGCCGTGTTGAATCACCACCGTCGCCGCCTCCGCCGCCTGGCAGTTCCCCATTTGTATAAATTATTGTCCTCCGCCGCGCGCGCGCCTCTGATCTCTCGATCGATGGTGGAAAACTAAAAAGCACGGTAGTACTAGAGAATTGAAATGCAAAATTTAGTGTGATTTAAAAAGCGGAAGAGGCGGAGCAGAATAATAATGAGGCGGAGAAGGTGACGCACAATTCACGTTTTCCCGACGTGTGAAATGTGCAGTGCAGAGAGCGAGAATCCAGAGAGAGATGTGACAAAGAGAAAACCCCTGCCGCTTTAATATCAGCCTTTACTCCCTTACTTGTGCACACACGAAATTGCTATTAATGCAAAAGATTCTCATCAAAAATAAAATGTAGGGGAAGTGTACATATAAATAAATGATTTTTCTTTTTTATAATAATATAAATAAATATATATGCATCGAGCGTGTGAATGAAGCATAAAAAAGAGTACACATTTAACATATATATATATATATATATATATATATATATATATATATATATATATATATATGTATATATATATATACTAGTAATTGTACCCGTGCGATGCACGGGACAACAAATTGCATTCTTTTGATATTGTAAGAATATAAACAAACGTTTGATGTATCGTATGATCAAAATTCTATTATACTGGAACATTATTAAGTATACTACACACAAAAAAAAAGGACATAACTTTACTGTTGAATAATTTTCCAAATGAATTGAATCAGCTAATACCAGTAGATTGAAAATTTGAACCAGGAAAAAAATCATCAATTATGTCTTCCATGTTGAGCTTAAAAGTAATTAGATTTGATAACTAAGTTAACATAATCAAAACTAAATTATCGACAACATACCATCGTAAAATGCCATCTATACATCTTGCATCGGAATTAAGCCCTTCTCCACTGCCTCATTTTAAGGTTGTTTTGCCACTGGAATTAACAATTGGAAAATTAAGAAACAAAAATAAATATAAACAATAAATTAAATATCGCATACAAACAATAAGTCTTGAAGGTCGACTTCCAATAGCTTGTGGCTCCGCCCATTTTTGGTTAATTTTCTCAAATCATCCCTTTCAATAACATGTCCGATAACATATAAAATGAAATAATTGTTATACATAAAATTTGAAAACTTTGGTATAAATTAATGAAACACATAATTTAACAAAATGAAATTACCTATAAGCCATGATGGAAAAAAGATGTAAACTAATTGCCACACATGCAATAGGATGAAGAAGAAGATAAGAAACAAAATCTAAAGTCGGGTTACCAAAAGAAGAAGCCTTAGGGAGGGAAGAAATAAAATTCAAATGTTGCAGACATTCTGTAAAACAATGTCACAAAATCCGCTAGGGATGAAAATCAGATTTATTTACCCTTTTCTGTAAAAATCGAAAATCAGATTATTATAAATAATATCTAGGAGAATTTGATGAAAATCGATAATAATATTTAAAATAATATTTCGGAGATAAAAATTTGATAAAAAAATCAAAAAATAATATTTAGGAGATAAAAATCAAAAATAAAATTTAAAATAATAGTTAGGAGATAAAAATTTAAAAAAAAAATCGAAAATAATATTTCAAATAATGTTAATGAGATAAAAGTTGATAAAATATGAAAATAATAATTAGAATAATATTTAGGAGATAAAATATGATTAAAATCAAAATTATTATTTAAAATAATATTTAGGAGATAAAAATTTGATAAAACTCGAAAATAATATTTAGGAGACAATAATCTGATAAAAAACGAAAATAATAATTAGGATATAAAAAACTAATAAAAACATGATAAAACTCGAAAAAAATATTTAAAATATTATTTTGGAGATATAAATTTGATAAAATTCGAAAATAATATTTAGGAGATAAAAATCTGCTAAAAGTTGAAAATTATATTTAAAATTATAGTTAGGACTTAGGAGATATAAATTTGATAAAATTAAAAAAATATTATTTATAATAATATTTAGGAGATAAAAATTTGATAAAAATAAAAAATAATATTTAGGAGACAAAAATCTGATAAAAATAAAAAATAATATTTAAAATAATATTTAAGGGATACAAATATGATAAAATTCAAAAATAGTATTTAAAATAATATTGAGGAGATAAAAATTTGATAAAAATTGAAAAAAAATTACAAATATGACATTAGGGTTTCTTAGGGTTGCCCTAGCGTTTCTTTCTTTTATATATAAGATATATATATATATATATATATATATATATATATATATATATATGAACATTGAAGAGTGGAAACGTGGAGTGTTAGATCTGCTAAACCACCTGAGAATTGCGGGAGAATTGCAGTTGTAAATTACATATTACTCCTATCTTATATATAAAAGGAAGATATTTTGACCTACAACATAACCTAAACCTAGGGGCAATAATGTAATTTCTATTTCAGCAGTTTTCTTCATTCTATTTATTAGTATTATTTTTAATTTTAATTATCCTGATTTTCCGTTCAGCAGTTTTTTGCCAGTTTAAAATGAATGCACGATTTTTTGACTCCGCAATCATGGGCCATGTATTTCTCCACGATTTTTTGACACGATTTGCCCATAAATGTGTTAGTTTTTGTCTTTGATCACATTCCCTATGATTTGTTTTTAGTCGTTGAGTGCTCAATGGTTAAGGATGATTCCTCTAGCATTCAACTCCTGAATCTCTTTTCTTGACACTATAAAAAAATTCTTTCCAGTTTCTACTTATTTTTTATTGGACAACATTATGGTCATTAAAATTATTTGCATTTATGTTTCCCAATATTGATGAATTTTGTTTAAACTATACTTTGCAGGACTCAGTTGTTTTCGGTTATTCTCGGACGAACATGAATACGAAGAGTTGAGAAATATGACTTGCATTATTGTTATGAGGTACCCACTATTTCAATAGAACTTATTTTACGATACATAATGCATGTGCTATGAAGTACATTTCTTTAATATTTTTGTGGTAAAATTTCAAAGAAAATGTCAGAGTTTCTTAAGAGATGCTATCACCATTCACATTAATATAACTCAAAGGAACATTTTTCGAAATTGAGGGAAAAAAGTTGCTTAGTGCTTTCTCTCATTCCGATCTACGTGCTAACTATTGGTTTCCAGTTATGCTACGTTTGATCTGATCGTCTTCATGTTTCTTTCGTAAGAGTTTGTATTGATTCACCTTCAGTTTGTATTGATTCACCTTCTGCAGTTAGTTTCTTTTTTGAGTATCGATGTACCATTTTATTTTTACAGAGATGAAGATGTTTACTCTATGGAGTAGTATAGAAGAAGAAGAAGAAGAAGAAGAAGAAGAAGAAAAAGAAGGAGGAGGAGGAGGAGGAGGAGGAGGAGGAGGAGGAGGAGAATGAGGAGTGTAATTAGAATAAAATAAGTTAACAGCAGTGTAATTTGAAATTTACAGGTATATATTCAATACTATTTGATAGTTTTTTTTTATTATAATTTGCACTATCATTTATTTAAATAATTATTTTATTTCCTTTGTTGAATGCGACCCCATGCAACCTACGGGCACGAGTACTAGGAGTAATTTTGAACTAAAACCTATACCTAAACTTAGGGGCAATTTTGTACATTAATAAATACCTAATTTAAACACTAAATCCATATATTTGCATATATCGTGGTTCTAATTTTCTTCCTTATATTTTCATAGACCGTGTTTCTATATATATATATATATATATATATATATATATTTTTTTTTTTTTTTTCTTCTCCCCTCTAATCACCCACTAACTTATCATGGTAGAAGTTATCACACCATGATTTCAACTCATTACCAATTTCAGTGTTGTATTTAAATTCACCGGAACTCCACCAAAAATCTTTTTTTTGTCAAGCGTCTTTTTCTTGCTCATTTAAAATTTTGTTCGTCTTCTTCTTCATCACCAACATTTTTCAACGTAAGCAATTGTTTTCTACAGGTAAACACTACAATTATTTATGTAGATTTATTTTATATCATATGTTTAAATTTCACATCACATAATAGTTGCTAACGATTTTGATTTTTTTGTACAACTCAGTCATAATTTCCATTCACAATGACACCCCGTATGACAGTCATATATGCCTTCACATAACGTTCATCTCTTTCATTGTTTGGGTGACCATGTTATTTTTCATTTTCATAAACCTATTACGTCAATTTATTTATTTTATTTTGTAAACTCATTATGTTTTATCACTTTAGGGGTCACCGTCTATTAACGTTGGAGGCACAACAATTGTTGCAACGTTAGTAGCCTTGCTTGGCAAATTGGTGTTCCAACATCTTCGCGGGAAACCGCCCGTTGAATCTGATTTCACTATAGTACAATCCACTAATGTATTTATGAAAGAAGAATCTGAATCAAATTTCTCACGAAGTTGATCATATTGTGAGGAAATCTCAGCGAACGAGTTATTTTTAACCTGCATATATTGTGACCACTGTATGGAGCGTGTGAGAACGTCCGACTTGGTGCATTGCATGCATTGTAATCTCACCACAATGCATCAAAAATGTGTACAAGCAATGGGTGGCAGATCAATATGCACTTGATTTTGATAATCCCAGTTGAGGCTTGGTCTGTAGAATTTGCGCACTTAGATTTGTTCTTTATAAATTATAGTTGAAAATAAGTTAGTGGGATCAAAATTTCAACAATAGTATATAAATTAAAGAATTTTATAAATTATAAGTTGATCTAAAAAAAATGGATATTTACCATAAAGCTCAATTCTATTATAACTAACCATAACACGTAACATAACCACCCATAACATGTAACGTACATCTTCCACAACTAGATCCATTACACAAACCTACTACCCCAGTATAAGTTCGGTTTTGATTAATTTCTTCATTCGCATGAGGATTATTTACTGAGTCGGTCGTCAGAGGATCAATTTCTTATCCATTTCCCCATTACTTAGGTGGTTACCATGTGTAAAACACAAGCGAAGCACCGATGTGGTCTATATATATGTATAC